GGGTCGTTGAAACAAAGTTGAACAGCGATCTATCCCCCCCCCCCCCGGACAAGAATAATTAGAATAGCTGACCGGTTAATAATAGGTAACAGCTGGTAACGGTATAATCTGGGGATTGCTTACAGATACGTTGCGAAGATAGATGTAATTAATAGGGAATGCGGTAACCACGATAACCCTTTGTCTATCCTTACGATCAGTTAATAGGATTAATCGTAATAATAATAATAATAATAATAATAATAATAATAATAATAATAATAACAATAATAATCATCGTTGGTATCGCGAAGACCATTGCACGTGCCACGCGTGTATGGAAGTTGACGTGGATATTATTCTTTTTTTTTTTTTTTACTATCGTAAACTCAATAACTGGTTAATATACAGTGGAAGGGAAATTTCTATTTCCCCCCTCTAATTAATTCGTTTTAATTGGAATTGAAAAAAAAAAGTCGTTAAAAAAAATACAATTTAACGATAATGCCGAAAGATATTTCCGGGATCGATGTGGGTAGCACATTGGCATTTTTGGACCAATTTTGGAAAATAATTTTCGAAATTAAATATCCTTGTACAATTTGGGAAATGACCGGGAAATTTATAAATTTTGTAAAGGTGTTCCTGGAGCGCGACCGAACAAACACACGCGATACACTGTGATTGGATCGAACTCGCGATACGATCCAATGCGCGTGTGCGTGCATGTGTGCACGTATTTTTTTAAACAAATTAGCTTGTAACGCGCGAGAATTTGGAACATATTTCTGAAATTAATTTCGAATGTTTACGCATTGATCGAGATAATACCAGAAAACTCATGAAAACGGTGTGAACCTATATATATATATATATACATACACACATATGTGTGTACGAATGAAAAATAATTTCGAGAAACGAGACGAATTTTATCCACCTGCGTGTATTATTTTAATATGTGTATATGTGAAAATTGTTTCTCGATCATTGTTTCACCTTGCGCGGTTGTTATTTAATCGTCTAGCTCGGGAAACAATTTGGACAGAAATAATTTTTACCCGCCGAGACATTTCTTCCTCGTGGTAATTATCGTTTTTGCTCTCTCTCTCTCTCTCTCTCTTTGTAGAATATTTATTTCATGCGCGAAATTTGTGGAATTAATTGTGGTGAATAATCTCGATACTTGTCGAACCGTAATTGCGTGTTACAATTTCGCATATTGTTAGTGGACCGAGGGGGTTTAACATTACCATAGGCAATGTTTCAAGTTATAGATCTCGATCAAGTGTTTATCGTGTGTTTGTAATTTCTCGATTCTAAACATTCTCGTTTCCGTTCTTACGCTGCTGTTTATCAAACTCGTTGCTTTCAATTACCGGTTGACAAAACTCGAGTTGGACGGAATTATTTTCGTCTCCGCGGCGTTCCTTTCAATTTCAAATTTCTTAAATTGAATCTTCGTGAAGCGTACGATAGAAAGAAAAAAAAAGAAAAAAAAAGAACGGAAAAATCAAAAATTATCTCACCTCTCTCCAATTATTCTTTTGTCAAAAAGGCAATAATCCCTCTCACAGCTCCCATATCGCTTTTTTCATCTCGTTCTTTTTTTTCTTCTCTCTCTCTCTCTCTCTCCCCCCCACAATGGACGAGCGTAATAAAATCGCATAGAGGAAATCTGCCGCTCTCTTAGCCGCATCATAAAATGTGGTTTTGCATTTTAACGAAAAATAATGCAAATGAGTTGGCACAAGTTTGGACAAACCGTCGAGGCGGCCGCGCGATGGCACAAAAATTTCGTCCATCCGAGATGCTGTTGCACGCGCGGGAGAAAAATCGCTTGGAAAAATTTCTTCTTCGTCTCGAGAGAGCTTCTATTTTGCCACTTCCGGCAACCTTTTCACAGGACAACACGATCGGTAAACGATCGGTACACGCGAAGGAAATATAAAATGGAAACGTCGAAACGTCGAATGTGCGCGCATCATCGTGGCAGCTCTTCTGAGCTCTCACGTTCGATGGAATACGGGTTCGTGATCGGTAATACGTTAAAAGCGATCGTTGAATTTGTTATTCATGAGATGGTCCGCGTACCTCTCAGCTGTCTGCCACGTTACTCGTTCGTTCGGGCTTAATTACACTCTGGTATCACGTTGCGTTTTCATTGAAACGTGGCACATAGAAATTGGCGGAGTAGAATGAAATTAAGAAGATTGATTAATGAACGGTCGAATGTATAATGGAGCGCGGAATTTTTTTTCGAGCGCGCGTGTTTTAACGAGAAGAATTAGGGGCGAGCGAACGAATAAACAAAAGTTTAAAAAAGTAGAAAAGAGAAAAAGGA